GGGGGGCGGGGGGTTCGTAGTCGCAGTGCTACTGGGTGAAAGCCTGCAGAAAAGTTAGACAAGAAAAACACACATGATAGAAGAAGAGAGAGCACACACGAAACGAAAAAAAACAAAATCGACAGAGAGAGAGAGAGCCCCAGAACAAAAACAGAGCAACGAACAAACTCTTGCCAAACCTGTGCGTTGATGTGGATCATAGCCGGCAGCAAGAACGCCAGGGTCTTGCCGGAACCGGTGGCGGAGATGCCCACCATGTCCCGCCCGAGCAGGGCCATGGGCCAGCCCTGGCTCTGGATGGGCGTGGGCGCGCTGAAGCCCTGCTTCATGACCTCGCGCAGCACGTACTCGGGCATGGACGCCTCCTCGAAGGTCATGGCAGGCTTGGGAATGCCCTCCCCCTGGATAACGATGCCGCACTTGTGGCGCCAGGCGGAGGTCTCTTCTTCCGAGCGCTTGGACACGTCCGGGTGCTCGATGTAGAAGTTCTGAGAGGGGGGACAGGAAGGGAGAGAGAGAGGAGGGGGGGCGTGAGCGTGAGGGGAGCGATTTTCTAGTGGTGGGATGATGCGTTCGGTAAAACGGCTTTGCAATACATACAGTAGCTGCTCTGCGAACTCATGACCGTGGATGACGGGCGCGAAGCACAAAACGAGAAGAAAACGCCAACCAAAAAGTGAAAACCCGTCTTTCACACGGGGAAAACCAGAGTGCCTTCGTCTTTCGGTCCCTTCCGCCGGCACCCAACACGCTCGTCCTAAGCCCCTCGTAACACAACAATGTTGGCCACAAGGCTGCAGAAAACAGAATCGACTACGCAGAGGAAGTTGTGTTTTTGCTCGGAAGCTACCCACAGGTACTCTATCTGTCACCATGCAGAGCGACTATCTAGAGCCAAACACGCTCAGGTACGACAGGGATAACTTTTTTCGTTGTCACAGAATGCACACACGGGGTCTTCTCTTATCATCCATACCGTATATGACACAAGATAACACACCCCCTTGGCCGATTTTCAAAGCTCGATTTCTCAACAGCAGGAAGAGTCACAGCGCCGAAAACGGCGGCGTTGGAACCGTCTCGTCGAGAGCTGTTCGAAAACGTATTGTTTCATTTATGCATCCTCTTCGTCGTGGAGTAATCGAGCTTTGAAAATCGGTCCAGGGGGTGTGTTATCTCGTGTCATATACGGTAGTTCTCGATTCGAGCATCGGGTCATCCCTACTGCGTAGTCTGTCACCCCAACAAACACAACACGCCCGCCCCCTCTCCCGCACCCCCCCTGCCCCTCTCCCCCAGGACGTCGCACTCCTCGTGTACAGAAAGCCTTGACAGCCGTCCGCCGTCACTTACAAGAAAAAAGAAACAGCAGTGCACGCGTCGTGCTTCTTTTGTGCCTGTGTGCTTTTTAGGAATTGCGTCGACCGCGGTAACCGGCTGACCAATGAGAAGACGTACAGTCTTTGCAGCGGGAAAAAAACAAAAAAACAACTCTCTAGTCACAGGGCAAGGGTTCCGCCGACAGGGGAGGGGGGCGCGGGAGAGTGGGACAATGTGTGTCGATGTGTGTGTTTCTTACTGGCATCGACTGCCCTGACCGTCTGACCAATGAAAAGACGTCAGTCTCAGTGCGGTCGAAAACACAAAGTGCTTCATTAGGCCACGATCTGGGACCCTGGGACCGAGCGTCATGGGGGAGTCTACGCTACTCTTCGGATTGGAGACGGATACCTCGAAGCTCAGAACAGCATTAGAAAACTCTGTAAAACATGGGCTGTTACTACAAAAGTTGGATGCGCGTTTGTTTTGGATACGTCTGTCAACAAAGTCCAATCCTACGCTAAAATGAACGCCCTCCATGAAGGCGAGTACTAAATAGCACTGCGCCAACACCAACCTTCTCGAACTTGTGAAGCGACTCGAGGTCCCACTGGATGTTCCTCAGGTTGGCGCCGAGGCCTCCCATTCGGTCTCCGCCGCCACCACCACCCCTAAACCCGCCGCCGCCGCCGCCGCCGCCTCCATACCCGCCCCCGCCGCCGCCCCCGTACCCTCCCCCGCCGCCGCCACCGTACCCGCCGCCGCCGCCGCCACCGCGGCGCGAGGAGTAGTCGTCACTGCGACCACCGTATCCGCCACCGCCACCTCCATAGTGAGACATTTCGGGAACTCTTTCGGATTGATGGGGATAAAGAAGGCTTGTTTCGTGCCCGGTTTTCGTGTATCCTGCATGGGAATTGGGAGGCAGGCAAGAGAGCGGGGGGGGGGCAAGCAGGCTCGTCAGTAAGTTGTGGCGCGCGACGGCGACAGCAGTTCTCCAGCAGCAGGTTTCCTCGCTCCCACCGCGTTGCTACGTATGTACACAGTAGACAAGTGTCGACAACGGTAGGTTTGGGCTGACGCAATACTGCTGTAGACAAGAGAAGTGGAGGTGAGAGGTGAGAGAGAACAGATCTCCGCACACAAAATCATCCGCCACAACAAACCCAAAAACTTGAAATGACCATCTGCTATAGCCGCTGGCACAGACTCAAACAAGTTATTAAGCCTCCGTGATGGCTGGACATCCGGCAAATCACATCAGTCGATGCTCAGGGAAGATGATCCTTGTGCTCGGAAGGCAAACAGCAAAACAACCCTGTGGCTGGTGCCATTGGATATCAATCTATGAATACCACATCGCCGGGAACAAGCGAGCGGGAAAGTGCGTACGGTAGAAAGGGAATAAAAAAACTTCGCGAAAAAACAACACAACTCGTGCGTAGCCCCGCCTTCGGGAGGAGCGGGCGTTGGTAGTGGGGAAGGTGGCCTCTTCTACGTGATGTCCACGCCATGGACCCAGGTACCGCAAGTGGCAACGCAGCGCAGGCAGACCAGACACCACTCAAAATTATCTCCCTCCCTCCCCACCATCGATCCCATCGCCGCGGGCTGCAGGTACGTGGCATAGAATTTTCCCAAAAAAGCGAAACAAAATAAACAAAAGACTGCCGCAACAAGCCGTGGCTTCGACGCCACCCTGACGGTCTTCCGAAGCTCATCCATTCTTGCACAAGATCTCACCTTCCTGCACGGGGTAAGCTAGTAGCGCGTGCTGCTGTCTTATGCTGTTGTGGTCTGGCGGTTGACCCGTCCTGTCGCCGGAGGGGGGATCGCGAACTGGAATCATGCATATGTTGGAATCTTAAGAAGAGTGCTTGTCTGCGGAGCCCCTACGTCTTTTATTATTAATTACATTATTGACCCGTGGCTCGCTGCTCGTTCGAGGCTCCACCACGCCTGTTGCTAATTCGAATCTTAAATTGCACCGAAGTCTCGATCGATCGAACCCAGCCCAGGAAGTGATGGGCCGCAGCCATAGGGAACAACAGCAGTAGTAGTGCCGCCCACCCCGTACCTGCCGCGCCGGTGCTGGCTACCGTGCCGGGGATTTTCGGATTTGTCGTTAGAAACGCGGGACACAGCGACACAGCAGATAGAGAACGAAAACAAGGGGAAGAGAACAGCGGTGATCTCGTGATCCCCCATCTCCCACGTTTCGAACGGCAACCAAACGCAACAGCACAGCCAGCAGCAGCAACAGGCAAGGATTCAAGAGCAGCGGGGCGAGGAAGGAGGGCCAGCATCTCGTGGGCTCCGCCACGACGAAGGCGACCCTGCGCGGCGGCAGCAGCCCATGCTGCTAGGGAAGATGGTCCTGGTAATGACGACGACCCTGGTGCACCTTGCGGTTTTGGGAAGCGGCGCGCTCTTCGGGAGCTGGCGCGTCGAGGACCAGGTGAGGGTCGTAGGCAGTAGGAAGGGGGGACTACAGCAGTAGGAGCGACACTGCAACCAAATAAGTCTACCGCGCAACCAGCGGAGATGGGATGCGTTTGCTACTTCTCTGCTACACAAGAACATGGCGTGTGGTGGTAGTCGAGATTTGAACGTCCCTTATGAACGAATGTTCATGAATTGGCGTTCGTTTGTTTGTCTCTCAATTTCCAATTTTCTCTCAAGGTGCGTGTGTGTCTTTGGGCCCGCCGCGCCGACTTTCGAGCAAGTGCCCCCGGACAGCTATTTAGCTCTCCCGGACACGGCCGTTGATCGCGCCACACAAACGTACTTGCAGTGTGCTTTGTCGTGTCTGTGGAAGCTCGGAATAACCTCCCCGTCCCTGGGACACGCACAGAGCGATAGAAGACAAGCCTGTTAAACTGCTGCACGAGAGAGTTCGTTGTCTCTGCTGCACAAACGTCGTCGTAACGGACACGCGTTCACGTCTCGTCAGCCCGACCCCGATGTGATGAATGAGTGTCTGTCTGCTGTTGTGTGCATATTAATACTCGAGTAGTGTTTTCTAACAATCGGACCCTCCCGAGGCTCTGTTTCACAAGAGGGTGCAGTGCGCTATTCTCCAGCTACATACTTTTGCTGTAGTGCCTGTTCTAGTAGGCGAAAACCTCGTCCTTGTTCCGGCCGAACACATGCTGGAAGGAACTGCGCATGTATGCATACACAGACTTCCAAGGTAACTGCGCATGTATGCATACACAGACTTCCAAGGTCCAGTACCCATGGATGCACACTGCTCGGGGGTGTGATTGTAGGCAACAAACATTGATCAGCAATCAGACAAGCGTGTGCTACATATGCAAGCAGCAGCAGCAACGACAATAACAGCAGCACACTACCAACGCGACAACCGCCACGGCTGTCTTCAGGTACCCCTACGTGATAATACAATTTAGGTGACCAAAACACACCGCCATCTCTTCCAATACAGTTGCACCAACGCGCGCCTTGGTCCTGAAGTCGCTCAAACCCTGTTGTTTCCACATGAAACCCCATTTCAATTTCAAACGTTATTTCTATCAGAGAGTCTTTGAGGCCTTAGAGAGAGACGTGAGAGTGCTGTTCCCCCCCTTATCGCTCGTGCAATCCTAAACAACGCCAGATAAAGAAACAACCCCAAGGTCACTTGACTCATTACCGAACCCAGGTATCTTACGCTGCGCAAAGCTACGTGCAACGCCTCCACGTTTTTAGGGCACAGCAGTAGGCCATCTAGAAACATCCACTGGAAACACTTCTGGGGGAGTAATAGGAGCAATCAGTATATCGTTGTTTCGTCCTCCGTGTATGTGTGTGTTTCTTATTTCGCGCCGACCGTGCTGACAGTATTAAGTGTTACACCGCAATTATTGTGCCAGCGGGCAAATGAATGTACCCCCGGCTTAAGCGTAATAGGCCAACCTGGACGATGTTCTCACTCGTGGGCTCCCCCCTCCGCAGCACCGCAGCGTGCATTGACTGCTGCTGACAGGCTGGCTAATGGTTGGCTGGCCAATGAAAAGACGTCAGTCTTACCTTGGAAACTTGGAAACAAACCGAAAAAAATCGCCTAAAAAGGATTTCGTTTTTGGCAGCAATTGGTTTTGCTTTGTATTTTATATTCCAAGTTTTACTTTGGTTTCCTCTCTTTGTTGCAACTCAACACGTGTCGCGTGTTCTTTCAGGTGGTGGAGGATGCGGAGATTCCGGACGCGACGTCAACGTTCCAGCGGCGAGGGGGCAAGGCCCGGCGCTACTGGGGCAAGGTCAACCGAGGCGTGAAGAGCTTCCGGAGAAGAAGGGAGATGCGCCGCCTCAAGCACCAGACCGGGGCGTGCGACGTCACCGGAGCGGGGGTGAGCGATGAGTCCAGCACCGCGGTGCTCTTCCGGTGTACATACATTACCTCGTGCGATGGGACCGCCTACCCAGTATTTTAAGAGAATCTAGAAAAAGAATAGGGAGGGGGGCGCGCAGACCCTATATCCTTAACCCTTAACCCCAACCCCAAAGCACGGATTCAATACTTTATCCCATATGTTTGCATAATCAATTTTTTCTTCGGAGACTACTGGAGCGATGAGTACGGTGTTCGTTGCTTCTGGGAAAAGAAAACATGATTGGTTCACGAACGGGATGGATCTTGGGGTGACGACGACGCCGACGACGGTGCACGGAAGTGCTGTTGTGCGATTTTCGATTTTCGATTTTTCTGCGCCCGGTGCCAGCGGGGGGCGAAGGTTTCAGCAACCGCGCGTTGCACGGCAGAAGCGGCAGCACTTCCTGCTGCTGCTGCTGCTGTCGTGATCGTTCAGAGTGTTTGTGCATGTTGTGCTGGGTTGTAGTACTGCTGTAGCACGAACTTTAACTTGCACCCTCACGCCGTTACCGCCCGTGCGCTGTAGGCTTTTGGAGAGTTCGGTACGGTTAGCGCACGTCCTTTGTATCTGTACGCGTATCCGCTCGTCCCATCTATAGAGGTTGCCAACTGCGTGGGTGCATGTCCGCGGGACAAGCTTGCTCTGCCAAGAATGAAGCCGGATCCTCCTTTGTCGGCTAACACTTGAACCAAGTCAGACTTAGGAACAGGCCCTTTCGCGTGTGTGGGTTTGATGAACGCCCTTCGCTGTTGTCACGCCGCAAGACTTTGCAGTGTTTCTTGTTTCATTATGCTCCTCTTTTTTCCTTCGGAGAGGGCTGGGAGAGTGCGCGAGAGCAATCAACTTGTTTTTCCTTTATTATCAGTGCTTCGTTTGTTAGGTAGGTGTATCGCATTGGCTCAAAATTCCAACCACCCCCCTCCCCCCCAACCGCCCGCCCGTGCTGTTTTTTGTTTTTGTTTTTCGTTGTCTCCTTTGCTGCCCCTGCCTGGCTTTACTTTTTAGTTGGGGGGCGAGAAGTGCCCTCACGGCGTTACCGTGGAGGAGTACACGGACGACATCAACAGATGGTCGGTGAGTTCAATGAGATGAAGTGAGGCTCGGACCCAGGATGTCTTGTGAGAAAAAAAACACGTTGTCTTTAGCGTGCATAGCTACGCGTGCGGGTCGAGAATTCGTCCTGTGAGACCACGGCTGGTGCGGCAAGCATGCTAGAACACCGAAAGGTGCAGGTAGGCTGGCGCCTAAAACATGTCGGTTTCGATGCCAACAAGCGAATCAATAGACTTGGCCGATTGTAGACGGTAAATTACCGCGCAAACCCCTGGAATAAATATGGGACGGAATAGCAAGCATTGGAAACTGGAGGAGGGGTCGGTGATTCCAGCCTCGGCCGGGCTGGGCTTTGGGTTCGAGCGTGGTTATGTGTGTTGATGGGGGTCTGTCTCCGTTGGTTGCTTCTCACGGACGAGGCGACGCGTTCGTCGTCCACCAAGTCAAGTCAGCGCTAGCAACAAGAGGGTGGGTCGTTCGGTCGACGGCAGAGTATGTATCAAGTGTGTCGTGTCTGGAAGGAGGCGTTCGGAGATACCGTCAGCCCTTGCGGTGGATATTGGCGTGTTGGTGCGGAGTGGAGCAACGATAGCGACAGCAGTGTCGGCGGGATCGGCAGGGGGGGCGATCTGGGTTCGTGCCCGCACCCACAAAACGCATGCCGATGCGCAACGTGAAAGACCCGATATGCTGGACGTGTCCCTACATGGGAGGACGTGAGAACCACCGAAGATTGCTTTCTTGCTCCGTTCCACCTGAATGATGATCACAACACAACGTTTGGCAACACAAGCTAGTGACAATGTCCCCCACACCAACACAATGGTCTAACAACGAAGGCGTGCACAACGCGAGTACGCCCCCCCCTGCACGCACACACCCTCACGGGGTCCCAGATCATGGTAGCCTCTGGAAGCGTTTGTGTTATTTACCGCACTCACTGAGACTGGCCTCTTCTCATTGATCAGCCGGTTAACGCTCTCGATGCTAATAACTATACCACACGCCTCCCATACCCCGGGCTGTTGCTGTCGGGAAAACATGCTGCGCTGCGGGGGTTTGCCTTTTTATCAAAGGCGGAGAAGGTGCAGAGACGAAGACTGTCGCGGGGAGAGGACGCCAAGGTGAACATGCTCATTCTCATGTCGGACACCGGCGGGGGGCACCGCGCGTCGGCCCAGGCCCTCGAGGCAGCCCTGGAGGAGATGTATCCCGGGCGCATCGCCGTGACGATGGTGGACATTTTCACCGAGCACAGCCGCTGGCCGTACAGCGCAAGCGTTCCCGCATATCAGGTAGGGGGGGGGCTGGCTGGCTGGCTGGTTGGCTGATGTGGTGATCGTTTGCTGCTGTTGTTGTTGCCGCTGCTGTTCTTTGCTGCTGTCGTTGTTGTTTTTTGTCGCGTGTGGTGCCGATGATGGTGGCGGGTTTGTTTTTGTCGCGTGTGGTGCCGCTGCTGTTCTTGGTGGTGTTGCTGCTGCTGTCGCGTTGTTGTTGTTTTTGTCGCGTGTGGTGCCGATGTTGGTGGCGGGTTCTGGGTTTCCTGCGTGAGAAATTTTACGTGCTGCAACAGGAAGCTCGTCCGGTTCCTCTCTCGAGAGAATGAAGAAAATCAGCGCTGTTTTCGTCCTGCACCCTGGGGTCAAGTCAAGGAGCAATGGGCCAAGTCAACTCACTCTGCCTATCATGCTCGGACATTTGGCCGTTCTTCGTTTTTCTGCTTGTTTCTGTGACATGGTGCGGTATAAGTTTTCTCGCCCTCCTTCCTTTCCTTTCCTTTCCTTCCCCGCCGGAACAAGCCGAAATGTCGCCATGAACTCCCGCTACGTGCCTCGCGTTGTTCAACCAAGGGCGAGGCAAAGCAAGGCCAGTGGCGCCCCCCTCAATGCCCGCCATCCGTTTTTTGTTAGCACACACTTTCTTGCTGTGAACCATAATGCTGAACCGTATCCAACGACTCGGTTCCAGTCCAAGCAAAAATTCGATCCCACCCCACCCAAACCTCACCCCGCACCCCCCACGGAACCTTCCCCGCTTCTAATCCCCAAATTAACAAAAAAGTACGCAGCGAAGAACCCGTTGGTGTGGCGAGCGATGTACGAGTACGCCCGCTTCCCGCCGACGCGATACCTCAACGGTAAGATGCTCTCCTTCCAGAACTTCGGGCGGTTCAAGGAGGCCATGCAGCGGTACTCTCCGGACTTCGTCGTGTCCGTGCACCCGCTGTGCCAGGACCTGCCCCTCAAGGTCTTGAACGCCATGGGTCCACAGAGAACGTAAGTTTTTTTGTCGGTGGGCGTTCCATCGGTTGATGGAGAAGGTGAATCTTGACTTCTTTGTATTTTTTTTTTGCTTTTCTTGTTTGTCGGACGCCGTTGGCCCACGGACAAGGTGAGTTTTGCCTGATTTGACGCTTTTTCTTTTTTTGTTGATTTTGTGCGACGGCTTCGTTTCGCTGGGGTAGTCGGACGGGTGAAAGGTGCCGCTGGGCCACACGTGGCGCTGACGAAATCGCCCGGCACAAGAGAGAGAGCGCACGCTGAATAAACACCGCCACACCTCGTTCCGCCCGCTTGTGCATGAGTGGAAGGCACCTCCCGGTCGTAAACATCCCCGCCCCATGCCATGCCAACCATGGAGTAATCCAATCCAATCCAATCCAATCCAATCCAATCCAATCCAATCCAATCCTGTACCCCCTCCGATTGTACACCCCGATATCTAGGCCTCTAACAAAACACCGCCAAAATCTCGTGCCCCGTGTGCGTGTGCGTGTGTTTTGCTGTCGGTGTGTGTGTCTGAGTAGACGGCAGCTGCCCTTCGTGACGGTGGTGACGGACCTCGGAGGAGCGCACCCGACGTGGTTCAACAACCAGGTCGACAAGGTCTTCATCGCCTCCGACGCTGTCATGCGCGTTGCCTTCCGGGAGGGGCTCAGCGCGGCACAGGTTCGTGGAATGGGTGGGTGGGGGGGGGCGTGGATGCCGTAGTCGTTAGACCGCTGACCTCGCAGCCCTACGAAGCCAGGGAGGAGCACGCCGGGTTCTCACCGGACCGGGCTCTCACATCACCAATCGCGAAGCGCCCAGAGGTATTCGGCGAGTCGCATGGAGGGTGCGCTGCATTCTGCGAAAGTTGTTCGGCATCTTGTGCTTACTTGCTTGCGTACGGATGACAGCTGCGAATGGCTTAATTTATTTTCTGGTGCTTTCACTTCCAGAGACAGTTATCAGCACTGTGTAACTGTCGAGGGTGCTTGAGCATTTTAACACAACTTGGTTCGATCATCCCCTTTGCGCGGAGTGAGGGTTCTCGACCCCGCACAACATGATCTACTCGACCACCATTATGGTTCCCGCAAACAAAAAACAATTAAACTAGTTGTCGAGCTCACGAAGCGGTCGGCTTGTTTTACAAAGTCGGTACCAAGCGACGAAAACCCATCGTCGATAGCAAACACCGGAGGGGGGGGGAGGGGGGGCGGTACTCACGTAAAATGCGCATGCCGTAGTCGTTAGACGATTGGCCTTGCAACCCTACAATGCCGGGACGGGGTGATATGCTCGGTTTTCGTCGACCCAAGATACGTTTCGCTAAGGATGAAGATGACAACCAGAAGCCGGCCATCACTCTTGCGTTTGCTGTGCCAAACCAGATTGGGAAGGGAGAGGGGGGATAATCGAACCAGCGGTGTTCATGGCGTTGTTGAGGTTTTCTCCTTGATGGCACACAATGATAATGATGGTGCCGCTGTCGTTGGGGCCGTGCGCTCGTGATCTCAAGCCTTCCCTTTGGGGGCAGAGGCTGTTGTGTGCATGTACAGTAGTGTTGGTCCCGCGAGAAAAGGAGTGAAGTCCATCCGTTGTGTGCGTGTCTGTGGGCAGACTTTTCCCTCGCGGTGTTTTTGCTGACATGACACCTCTGATATTCTGTCTGTCCTCGTGTCTCCATTATCTCTCTTTCCCTGTCGTGCGCCCGCCCCCCCCCCCGTCCCTCTCTCAAATCCACCAGCTTGGGCTTCCCATCCGCCCGGCCTTCTGGAAAGACCCCCGGCCTTCGTTAGAGCTGCGGGAGGAGCTGGGTCTGGAGGCCGAACCCCCGGTGGCGATGGTAATGGGCGGGGGCGACGGGGTGGGCGGCATGGGGGCCATCGCCACTGCCGTGATTAAGACCCTGGCGGAGGAGCTAGAGCGCAGCCAGGTGATTGGATTGCCCCCCCCCCCCCCCCCCCCCCCTTGTGTCCCAAAACCAGGGGGAAAAAAAAAAAAAAAAAGGGAAAAATTTTGGGGGGACCCCCGGGGAAAGGGGTCTGTCTTTTTTTTGGGTCCAGGGGGGGGGAAGAAAAAGGGGAAGGAGAAGAAGAACCCCCCCCTTTTTTAAGGGGAACGGCTTTGAATTCGCGTTTTGGCTGTAAAAAAAAATCCTGTCCTGGAAGGCCCCCGGGTTGTGTTTGGGAAAATGATGA